CCTGCTTGAATTACTTCTCAGCAGGGCAGAAGCCAACAATGTTCTTGGAAAGAAAAGCACACTTCTAAGGTGTTCTCATGCAATCTCTGCAGCTTGTTGCTGTCTGTGCTGGGAGTCAGTGGCAGTGCACAGCTGATCTCTGTGCACAACGTGAGCACTGACAGCAGCAGGACCTGGCAGCCCTGGAGCCATGGACACAACCCAAAAGGGATGAGACAGCAAAATGGCACAGGGCATGTGGACAGCAGAGCTGGAGCAATCCCTGCTTGCTGTGCAGGGACATTTCTTTGGGTATATCCTGCTCTGCTTTCCCAGCAGCACACTGAGATGTGAGGACACAGCTCAATTAAACACTGTCCCATCAATAATCAAACCAATCAGGTATTTGTGCAGGAAGCACTGCAAAGGTTCCTCTGGTTTCTACACTGGTTCTACAGGAGGAATCTCTTCGGGATCATCAGACACACACCTCCCTGCTGTGCTCTCCTGGGTACTGACAGTGTGGGGAGCCTGCAGGAGCCATGAGGAGTGCAGGCAGCTCTAGGCCAGCAGAAGACACTGTGCTGTGATTAGCTGCTCTCTTTGGGACACCTGCGGCATGCAGTGGTGGCTCTGAGGCATCCCAGCAGCTCTTCTAAGCCAAGAGCCAGAAATGTTGTGTCTCCCTGGAATCCTCCACCAGGAAATGATAGATAGCAAGGTCAAACAGAGCTTCTAAGCCTTGTTTGGCATCACAGAATGGTTTGGCTTGGAAAGGATCTTAAAGAGCATCTCATTCCACCCCCTGCCATGGGCTGGGACACCTCCCACTAGCCCAGGTTTCTCCAAGCCCCATTCGACCTGGCCCTGGACACTTCAGTACCAACACTGCAGTTGTTATTACTTCAGGTTTACATATGCAAAACCAATGACATATATGCGTATCCTACAAATTTGGGCCTTCACATGGACAGAGACACTAAATGTCTGTAGCCGGAATGCCATTAGTACTATGAAATGTAGTATTTTCCGGAGGAATCCTATAGCTGAGGTTGGCATCAGCATTAACTCTCTTCCAGTTACCCAAGCACAACCAGAGACTGGGACAGCCTCAGCTTGCACCAATTCAACAGATGAATGATCACTTCTTTCCAGGCACTTGTAGCTGCTGATTCACTCTGAATCCTTCCAGCTCTCAGGCAATACTCCCAGCAGGCAGAGTCCAGGGACACAGACCTGATTGCAGCAGCAGAGCTCAGCTTCTCCTGCACAAATCAGAGCTCCTCACCTGGATCCAGACTCAGCCAGGGAGAATTCACTCCACCTCTGTGCCATCCCAGCAGAAAACATCTCGCCCAGCCCCAGAGTATGTGCAGAAGACATAAATCACTAGTTTCTGAGCTCAGGTTTGTTTTCTGGTAGTTAGGGAGACATAAATTAGATACCTTGTAAATATTACTGATGACTCAGGTCCTTCTCACTAGGAGAAAAGCAGCTGTGTAAGGACAGCCTGAGGAGGACAATCCTAAGCAATTTTAACCAGTGTGGCAGCTCTGCTGAATATACAAAGTTATCCAGGCCAAGACGGGATATTCCCTCCAGGAAAAGAAAATTGAAAGCAGATTATCAGCTAATACAGGAAAACCTGTAAATTTCCTTGGATTATTTATTGGATTATTACTTTCTTGTATTATTTTCTTTCTTATATTTTTTCTTCTGTTATTTCTTTTTTTTTTAATTCCCCAAAGCAGAAATTTAGAACAACAAGGCTGGAAAATAGCTGAAGAGTAGATCAAACCCATAGATTTATCATTTTGGAGGCTGCCAGGGTTGCCTTGTGCAAAGGTAATTGCACCAGGAAAGCAAGATGATGTGTGGCAGATGCCACAAGAAAGTTCTCCCAAACTAAGTACATTCCCAAGGGGAAGTTCCTGCCATTCCCCTCCCAGGACTACACCAGTGAAATAATTTCACTCCCACCTTCCCTGTAAAGCAATAGCAACTGCTCCTAGGGCAGAGAGGAGTCACAGCAGGTTAGTTAACTGGACAGCCAGTGATATCACCTGCTATCAGAGCAGGGTAGGGAGGTGTGAAAAGAAGGGTTTGGGGGGAAAATTCTTCCTGCAGAACATGTTTGCACTGTAAACCTCTGTGAGCTGCACAGTGTGCAGGGACTGGGACTCATAAGGGGGTAAATGCAGGGGTTGGGAGGCATTGGGAGCTCTGGGAGAGGTGGAGAGCACCGGCTCTGCTTCCCCTGTATGTCATGCGAGTGAAGAAGGTCTACAACAGCCCAAGAGGCAAAAAGGAACCTCACAAACTTCCCAGAAGAGCTTCTCTTGTATAGAAGACAATGCAAAGTGAGCTCAGAGCTGCTCAAGTGGAGGATTTCAGTGCCACATGTCTCCAGTTCTGCACAAACACTGACTGTGACCTGCCAGAAAGGCTTATCTGTCTCCAGTGCTGCTTCCTTTTATAGCATGGGAGTGAAGAAGGTCTTCTAGAACACCCCAGGGGGCAAAAGGGAACCTCACAAACTCTCAAGGAAAGCTTCCCTTGTATAGATGACAATGTAAATTGAGCTCAGACCTGCTCAAGTGGAGGATTTCGGTGCCTGATGTCTCAAGCACTGACTGTGAGCTGCCAGAAAGGCTTATCTGCCTCCAGTGCACTTCTTGCATCCTTTACATCTCCTTAAACCATGACATATCTTTGTGCTTGTTAAGAAAGACACAGCCTCAAGCCTCATGTTAGGATTCAGTGTAAGGAATCATGAATTTTCCACCCATTCTGCTTCTTGCCAATATAATTGGTGCTGTTCTATGCCTCACTTTCTCTCCTTGAAAGTCCTTGGAATAAGGGAGGAGAGAGACTTGCTCTGGCTCTAGCTGTCTGCAAATAGAAGCACAATCTGGCTCATTTGGGGATGAGGAATAAGGTAAAGAGAAACAGCTCTTCCTCTGGCACAGATGTCAGGGCTTAGCCACAAAGGGAAGGAAACATCTGCTGTGAGAAACCTTCCAGAATAAATCTCTATTTGCTCATTCATCAGCTACTGTTCAATAATATATATACACAGATATATATATATTAAACTCCCAAAATCACTGCAGAGGAATTGACAATCTGCAAAGCTGAACAGAAGAGCTGATGTTTTATTAGACACATATTGCCTTTAAGGATGTTTTTCCATGATAAATCACATTATTCCTGTTAAAACTCAAGGAAAAGCATTGGAAAAGTTCAATCTGCTGAGACACTTCTGAGTGAGACACTTCTCACTCAAGGATCAAGTAAATGGACACAACTTTGGAGACATCAAGGGTCTTATTTAGGCTGGTGACAAAGAGCTTGAGGAGTGAGAATCCCAAATATTCACAGGGAATGTGTTGCCACCATGGATGGATAACAGCCTGGATTCAATACTAAGCCTCTTTTCCTGCAAATCATGAAGAATTCTGCTACAAACTGCTCTTATGGCACCCTGAGGCCAAGAGAAGCTGCAGGCACTGGGCATTCCCTGCCATTAAGAGACTTTTTAGTTCA